CCCCCCGTCTGCTTCCCGGCCCGCCGCCTGCCCCATCTACTTTTGTTGGGGGAGAGGGCTTGCTATTAATCTGCTCTGCTGGTGACACGAATTGCCCGTAGCGGATTTGTTCTAGTAAAGTGAATCTTTCTAGAAGTGACTGGTAGGAAACAAGAGTACAAGTTCATGTGATGTTACTTTGTGATTCTTACAAAAGTATTCAAAGCTCCGTTGCTACACTGCGATGAGACGTATGCTCAGAAGGAGAGCAGCCAGAGGGTTTGGGGTGGGCTTTCCAACACCACCCCCCACCCCCCACCCCGTTCAGCGTTACAAGTGAACTTGAGGGTGAGGGGTGAGGAAGGTTCCTGGTTAGTTGTAAAAATGGAAATTAACATTTAGACAGCTTTTAAAAGTAGCTGGATCATGTGTTACTCGGTTTATATTTCACAGCACAAGTAAGTCTGAAAAATATTTAAACAAAGTCTAGGGAATCAGGCTCATTTTAATCTTAATTTCAAACTTACATTTTTTACTATGATCAGCATTTCTAGTACAACTGCCAAACCCCACAGATTTTATCTAAATAGCTATGCCATTTTTCCTAAGGAAGCAGGCTGCCCAGTATCAGAAAACCATACATTTCATATTTGCCACTGAAGTGTTAGTGCGGCTGTGTTAGATGCATTAATATTAACTGTTGCACTTTGACAAGGCTATATTGATATGTAGCAGAATTTGGAGATACGTGTAATGGGAAAACAGTGCATCCTCAGAAGTCAATGGCTTAACTTACAGATTTTCATCTTCAACTATATATTTTTTTAAAATAATCTCAATTTCAGTGGCTGCAAAGACGTTTCTACTGTGTTAATAACACTTATAGCAGCAGGCTTTTCTTCTGCAGAGTTCTTTGTTGGAAAAACAATTTGTATCAATAAGTCCTGTCCCCCCCAACACACAATTCTGCTGTCTTCTTTCTGAGAATGGTACTATATTAGTGCTAAGTGTATTTGCCAGGATAGCTTCAGTAATCTCTCCAGCAGAAGCATATTTGTGTGCCATTTTGGGAATTTCTCTGAGATAGGAATCTTGAAGATAGAATTAATTTCTAGGAGAAACTTCATAGCCTGTGCATGAGTGCTTTCTTTATCACCTGTCTCCATTTGGCATTCGGAGAAGGTAAATCAAAGTGCGCGATTTGTTATTCTGCTCCACTTGAGAG